AAACTGAGGAGCTGGACGTCAACAACCACAGGATTCCGTGTATGCCCTTGAAGAAGAAACTGAACAAAGATTTACTTCGACTCACTGAAGAAAATTTCTGTCTTTCCGCGCAGAATCAACAGTTGCGGTAAAGTTGTGCGTTGTAAGCTAGCTTAAGTTCTTTATTCAGTGATTGTTATATTTCTTTCTTTCTCTCTTTCTTTCTTTCTTTCTTTCTTTCTTTCTTTCTTTCTTTCTTTCTTTCTTTCTTTCTTTCTTTCTTTCTTTCTTTCTTTCTTTCTTTCTTTCTTTCTTTCTTTCTTTCTTTCTTTCTTTCTTTCTTTCTTTCTTTCTTTTTTTAAATCGCACTTACTTCCCTTTTCGCACACTGTTCACCTTTCTTTCTCATTCTCTTTTATAGCTTCCCACACCATGGTGTATTTTGTGCGTTTCTTCTGTTCGGTTCTTAAATCACAGTATCCTTCTTTGACTTTCTCTATTTCGATCTTTCACTTTCACCTCCCTCCTCCCTCCCCTGTCCTCACCCTTCTTACTAAATAATCGCATTCACGTTTGTTTTCCCTCCTTCTTTAGTTTCTCGTCATTCCCTCCTCCATTTCTTCTTCGTTGCGTTAGATCTCATATACTGAGGCCAAAAGCTTTGCCTTGATATGTTTTTATTTGGGACAGTCTTGGAGAACATGATGTGTTGTCTCAGAGAAACACCGGTGCAAGTCAAACTTTACGGCTCGCTGAGTGAATTACAAAAGACAGTGAAGTTTATGCTAGAGACATTACAGACATAGATCATTGGTTCTCCTGGTTCCCCCATAGCTTGCTCTGCACACTTGGATCTTGAGACCAGGTCCCTCCTGGTTCCCCCACAGCTTGCTCTGCACACTTAGATCTTGAGACCAGGTTCCTCCTGGTTCCCCCATAGCTTGCTCTGCACACTTAGATCTTGAGACCAGGTTCCTCCTGGTTCCCCCATAGCTTGCTCTGCACACTTGGATCTTGAGACCAGGTCTCTCCTGGTTCCCCCATAGCTTGCTCTGCACACTTGGATCTTGAGACCAGGTCCCTAGTGGTTCCCACATAGCCTGCTCTGCACACTTGGATCTTGAGGCCAGGTCCCTCCTAGTTCCCCCATAGCTTGCTCTGCACACTTGGATCTTGAGACCAGGTCCCTCCTGGTTCCCCCATAGCTTGCTCTGCACACTTGGATCTTGAGACCAGGTCCCTAGTGGTTCCCACATAGCCTGCTCTGCACACTTGGATCTTGAGACCAGGTCCCTCCTGGTTCCCCCATAGCTTGCTCTGCACACTTGGATCTTGAGACCAGGTTCCTCCTGGTTCCCCCATAGCTTGCTCTGTACACTTGGATCTTGAGGCCAGGTCCCTCCTGGTTCCCCCATAGATTGCTCTGCACTCTTGAATCTTGATGCCAGGTTCCTCCTGGTTGCCCCATAGCTTGCTCTGCACACTTGGATCTTGAGGCCAGGTCCCTTCTGGTTCCCCCACAGCTTGCTCTGTACACTTCGCTCTTGAGACCAAGTCCCTCCTGGTTTCCCCATAGCTTGGTCTGCACACTTGGATCTTGAGGCCAACCCCCACAGCTTGCTCTGCACACTTGGATCTTTTGACCAGGTCCCTCCTGGTTCCCCCAAAGCTTGCTCTGCACACTTGGATCTTTTGACCAGGTCCCTCCTGGTTCCCCCACAGCTTGCTCTGCACACTTGGATCTTTTGACCAGGTCCCTCCTGGTTCCCCCACAGCTTGCTCTGCACACTTCGCTCTTGAGACTAGGTTCCTCCTGGTTCCCCCATAGCTTGCTCTGCACACTTGGATCTTGAGGCCAAGTCCCTCCTGGTTCCCCCACAGCTTGCTCTGCACACTTGGATCTTGAGACCAAGTCCCTCCTGGTTCCCCCATAGCTTGCTCTGCACACGTCGCTCTTGAGGTTAAGTCCCTCCTGGTTGCCCCATAGCTTACTCTGCACACTTGAATCTTGAGGCCAAGTCCCTCCTGGTTCCCCCATAGCTTGCTCTGCACACTTCGCTCTTAAGGCCAGGTCCCTCCTGGTTCCCCCATAGCTTGCTCTGCACACTTCGCTCTTGAGGTCAGGTCCCTCCTGGTTCCCCCATAGCTTGCTCTGCACACTTCGCTCTTGAGGTCAGGTCCCTCCTGGTTCCCCCATAGCTTGCTCTGCACACTTCGCTCTTAAGGCCAGGTCCCTCCTGGTTCCCCCATAGCTTACTCTGCACACTTCGCTCTTAAGGCCAGGTCCCTCCTGGTTGCCCCATAGCTTACTCTGCACACGTCGCTCTTGAGGTCAGGTTTCTCTTGTAGCTGTAGAATGTGATCGTGTTTTTTCTTCCATTAGCAACAATCACTAAAATAATGGGATAATGATAATGGTCATGGTGATAACAACGTGGATTTATGTATCATTTTTTGTAAATCTTCCTTAACGCTTTCAGTACACACACCCACAGACACACACCTACACACACCCACACACACACACACCTACACACACCCACTCACACACATCTACACACACACCCACACCCACCCACACCCACCCACACACATCTACACCCACACCCACACCCACACACATCTACACACACACACACCTACACACCCACACCTACACACACCTACACACATACCTACACACACACCTACACACACACCTACACACACACACCTACACACAGACACCTACAAACACATACACCTACACACACAAACACACACACCTACAAACAAACAACAACAACCCACCGCACGTTTGTTGCTTCTCACACAAACATTGTAACCTCCTCGATGTATCATTACCCTGACAGGTCAGGTAGAAGGTGTTTGTTAAGTGTCACCACACTTTGTATGCACAACAAATTTAAAAAAAAAAAAGTATGAGACTTCATGGAAAAAAATGTGATAACAAGTAATTAAATGAGTTACAATAGTCACTACGATTATCTAAAGCAGTTTTCATGAAAATGGAAAGCAGCTATGAACTATTTTTTATAACAGGTATTGGAAACATCCACCACGGACTTCAAGACATGGCTGTACACGTCTTTCCATATAATTAAATACCTCCAGCAACATGTGTGGTATTATTTCTTGAATGGTAATTCTGATTTCTTCCGTTAACAAAACCATTCTGTTTTTGAGTGCGCAGAATTACTTCAGCAGACGACATCAATTCACTGCATTCTTCGCTTTAGTCTGTGCAGCACATTTTATGATGACATTGTCTACTTTGTTTTTCATATTTGTTCCACATATAAAGAGTATAAAGACATTGCAAACACCCTGTATTGTATCTTAATTAATCTTGAACATATCCTAGTTAATCAGAGGCAGTTATTAACCAAACCAAACCAAATTTTTGAGAACTTTGAGATGTGGTTTTACAGAATTCACTTACTTAGTCTCTCCTCTTCTACCTTGGGGTGTAGAGGTTTACCAAAAAGAACGCCAGACTTCTCTGTCAGCAGTTTTCTTTATGGCTTTGTTCTTTTCCAGTTCTTTGCCAGTCAGGGACTTTATTGCCTTCCCAGCGGACCCTAGGTCGCCATAGAGGTCTGGTTTCCTGGTTCTTGGCCTCCCATGCCTGCCATGGTGGCCGATTTTCGCCCATTCTGCATGCATGTCCAAACCATCGTAACTGTCACTGATCCACTCGGGTTTGTAAGGACTGGATCTGAAGATCTTGACGTATTGTCTGACTGCGAACTTTGAGATTTTACAGCGGAGTTCGTAAAATTCCCTGCACAGTCAAAGAAAGCTGCCCGTGTGTTTTGAAAGAGGTGAGGGCTCGAAGACAACTTATCACAAACATCAGACAAGGGCGGTCATCATTTACTGTCCATATAAAAAAAAAAAAAAAAAAAGAACTGCAACATGCTGTGACACTGGAAAGATCTGTGGACAGAAAAAAACAGACGAAGACAACGCGAGACGATTCTCGATATAGGGATGTCAGCACACGAACTGATACATGCTGTTGTGGAGAGGTATGATCGCTGAAACCACCTAACGAGATTGCATAGGAATGGTAACGGACCGAAACAATCGTCGACGAGGGATCTTTCTACTGACGGTCGGTGGACCCTTGCTGTAGATGCTCTCTTGTGGATTTTATCTCACTTATCTTGGGGACATACTCAAAAGGAGATCAGAGCACTTATGGTCATGTCCGATGTGCGATAAAGATGATCTCTAACATGAACATTTAGCAATGAATCTGACGGAATTTAATATATATATATATATATATATATATATATATATATATATATATATATATATATATATATATATATATATATATATATGGATGTGAATCCTGGACAATCGGTAGGCAGGCCAAACAATTTCTTGCGGCCTCAGAGATGTGGTTTTACAGAAGAATGCTTAGAATACCTTGGACAGCCAAATAGAGCAACCAAGAGGTTTTGAAAGAGGCGGGAGCCCGAAGACAACTTATCACAGACATCAGAAGGAGACAGTCATCATTTTTCGGCCATGTTATGAGAAGAGGGAAAATAGAACATGTTGTGACCACTGGAAAGATCTGTGGAAGGAGGGATAGAGGAAAACAACGAGAGAAGATGCTTGACAGTCTTGTTGCATGGCATGGAGGTGTGCCGGCACACGAACTGATACATGCTGCAGGAGATCGCGGATTATGGAGAGGCATGATCGCCCACGCCAGTCGGCAAGGCACCTGATGATGATGATGATATATATATATATATATATATATATATATATATATATATATATATATATATATATATATATATATATATATATATATATATATAGACGTCACCTGATGGGGAAAAAAGTTTAGCTCCACGGCCTCTGAAAATGTATGCGGTGCCCCCTCCCTTTGTGATGCCCCGAGCAAGTACGCAGTGTGCTTGATGATTAGTCCGGCCGTGGTTTAGAGCAATAACAGTCAAGCACCCGTCAGACCTAAGCCACTCTCTCTTCAACAGAGACAATATTCGCAGTGTACGCAAGTCAACGGTCGACGAATGCTCCAAGATTTTAGACACCATCATCTCTTACTGCGAGTGTCAAGCCAGCTGCAAGCCGGAACCACGAACTAGGAGGGGTGAGTACACATCGATGTGGCGCCGTCTCCTCGATAAAGGGTGGATCTTCGGCCTGCGCTGTTTCTAGTTTTGGGTGCACAATATACGAGGCTTCTGTTCGTCTGACTCTTGAGTCATCCCACTTGTATCGTTTTCTACCTCTACCTCTTCATCCTCATCTACCTCTTCCTCCTCCTTCTCTTCCTCCTGTCCTTTCTTCTATTGCTGCCCTTTATCAGCCAAAGAGACATCGACCATGGGGGGGGGGGGGGGGGGGCCTGGGGAGGGTTTTTAAGGTACTTGATCTCCTATGCTTCAGCGCTCCAGCATTCCAACATTGTGATTATGCGCATACCATGGTCGGTTATTCAGCGACTCAGTATTCAGTAAAGTCGTTTGATGTCTTATAGCACTCGCAGTCTATAGCCCCCCCCCCTCTTTTTCCCCAACCACTACCAATTCTATTTCGCCCTGAGCATCATCCCCACCCCCCCCCCCACCCCCCAAAATTATGAATGGACGTTGGTTGGCTGGTTAGTTAGTTGGCTTTATACGATTCAGGTGGGCATTACATTCTTTGGACATGTCTGTCGTTTATTATTATCTCCTTTTATTTGTTTACATAATATTTGAATACCGCAATCTGGTTATTTCATTCAGTTTATTTGTGTGTGTGTGTGTGTGTGTGTGTGTGTGTGTTTGGTGCTCTGTCGATGAAGCCTAATTGCCGAAACGTCCTCTATTTGTTTATTGCAAGTGGTTTTTGTCAAGCTGACATATACTTTATTTACTACTCACCAGGTTCTACCTTTTCTGTTTCCTGTCTTTTGAATTTTCTTTTTTTTAAAGGTTTCTTTTAGTTAGTCCACAGATTATCACCACTGAACATCGAACCTGTGATACCATAAGATTTCGAAACCTTGATTCAAAATACCCGCAAACTTTTTGTCGCTGACGATACCTATGTTGATTTAGTCTTCTTCTTTGGCTTCCTGCAAAGTACTCTTGTCTGACTGTGTCCCTGTTAATTTGACTGTCCTTGCCTGTATGGGTAAATTCAAACGCTGAAAGAAAACCCAAGGATGGTTGTTGCACTTAGATGCACAAACTCCGTAGCGCCGGTGGAGATCAGAACTCACGGTTTCCGTCCAGACACCAATATTTACACACCAAAGATAATACTATCCATCTTTTAAGAGAAAATAAAGCGGTTTCGAGAAAAAGAGAGAGAATGGCCACAACAGTTTCTGATCGGAACGGAAGTGTTAAACACTTTTAGTTTCGTACTTGAGTAAACGAAAAAGAGCTCTGGAATACACTCACTGTGGAGATGTTATTCACAATCTGGCAATAACGTAATGATGATGGTAACGTGTACCCTCTTCTTCACCATCTAATGGACATATATAAAATCAAAACGAAGCTCTTTACATATATTTAAAAAACAATACCACACGAATACCCAAAAATCACTTAACTGACATGTCATGAAGCAGCCACTTTGATGTTTTCCCAATGAAATCTTTTCTTCTTCAGCCTTCGTCTACTTCTTCGATCCTTCTGACAGAAAACTTATATCAGGAGGCCGGTAGCTTTATGAAAGCTTGTCAGCATACAGTTGACAGTGTTGGAGCACATGCTCAGCATTTTCGAGTGCCACGCTACAGGGACACGTCTCCGTGCTTCCTACACCGAAACGTTTTAACATATGTTGACGAAGTCTGTTGCGCCCTGTCCTTAGTCTGAATATAATACACTATCCCTCTTTAGAGAGGCGATAAAGCGATTCGTGGGTAGAGAGTCTGTTGTCTGTATCCAGCCACCTTTCTTGGATACTAGATTGTATTAATGTTTTCGTCTCTTGGTGGGTTAAGTGACTATTTGGTTGTACGATGTCACTGCTGCTTCTAATTCAAGATAATGCTCGCTCAGCGGATTTGATCATTTACACAGACGGTTCAGTGTCAAGAGGCAAAAGAAGTGCTTGGGGCTTCTTAGCAAAAGTTAATGGCCGACGTTTGGTGAAGGAGAGCCTAGCATATGATATCACAACATCCAGCTTAAGAATGGAGGTGGAGGCGGTCACTGCAGCTTTCCGCTGGCTAGAGAACACGACACACACACACACACACACACACACACACACACACACACACACACACACACATCGTGATTGTAACTGATTCAGAAAGCATGCTGAGGAAGATCAGAACAGGTATGCTTCGTGCAGAGTGGCATGCTTCGCTGCGAAGGACACGGGTGAGGGGTATTGTCTGGATTTTTGTTTACCGGGGTACGCCGGTGTTTTGGGAAATGAACAGGCGGACAGACTGGCTGGCTCTGCACAACTTGGTGGAATACTGATACATGATAAGGCAGACGTGGTTAGTGCCTTGTGGGAAAGCGTGTACAGTTCGGAGGAGCAGATGGATCACCACAGTTTGGTGAGATTGATGCGGGGGGCGGGGGGGGAGTGACGAGAGGCTCTGGCAGATGCTCGAGGCTCAGAGGAAAGGTAAGACGGACATTTAATCAGAATGCTACTGGCACCATTGGTATCGGAACTCTTCGCTGGCTGCTGAAGATGGGGACGGAGCGCTTATGGGAATGCCCCGAGTGCTGTGATGTCGGTTCTTGAATCAAATCAAATCAAATCACTGCTGCTTCTAGCCAATCTGTCCGCTTTTTATTGCCTTCCAAGTTACAGACACATGGAATCCACTGCAGTACAGATTGTTCTACTGAAGAGCCTGGGTGAATCAGCTGTTGCGTCAAGTCTACAAACTGAGTGCCTGTTGGGTTAACAATTGCTTGTAGAATTGACAGGGAATCAGTCAGAAAGACCACTTTGCTATTTATGCAGTGCTGTTGTCCATTCAGGAAAGAACAAGCCATCAGAAGTTCACCTGCTCTGTATTTAGAAGAATATAAACTTGTTGCTATAGCTTGTTTAGGTTTTAACCCATTTGGACATTCTATGTATATACCCCCTCCTCTGTCTCTTACTGCTCTCTAGGCAGTCGTTTTTAGTCGCTTGTCTGTTCACGTTATCCGCAGCTTGCGTCTCAGAAACCACAACTTTGGTCACGACAAAATCCTCATCAACATCATGTAGCAGGTCCTTGGCAAAACGTTGCTCTCATCATGGTCTATCTGAAAGAAACTCTTTCTCTCTCATCTCATGCCCTTTCCTACACAAGGAGTCACTCATTTCCTGTGCTAGACGTCCCTCCTTCCTGGTACTCTGCCCTTCTGGTGTATTTTTTGCCTAGTCCTTCGTGGCACTTGATGTCGTCAACATATTTCAGCTTCAGAGATAGATAAGATGCTGTTTATTATGCAATTTTCCTTGATCTTCAGATCTTAGAATGTCAATATTTCTTCTCTTCTTTGTTTATGGTATTCTGTGATTCTTTCTATAGCATTTCAGCTCAAATGCTTCTGTTTTCTTCCCTAAGGATTGTGAGATAGTCCACGACTCACACGGTTTGTTGCTACAGGAAAGATGCATGCTCTCAGAATTGTGACTTGGATTTCTGAATGGTGCTCAACCACAGACTTTCATGACGATAACAAAGACACATTTAATTCACACTAACTTGGAAACACAACGGGTTTACCCCAATAAGAACGAATTGGTCTATGACCGCATCAAAATACATGACGTACTAGAGGTTGTCCGGACCCCAAACTCCCCTTCCCTCGTTAACTGGACAATGGTGCCATCCTTAATGGCCACCGTTGAGATGGACACGACCTCGGGTATCTCCTTCTGAAACAGATGTAAGTCTGCTGCTCGTTCTTCTAGTTCCAGCAAAAGCCGTAGCTGTCTCAACGGCTGCCCCAGTTGAACTGATGGTATCAGTAAGTCGTTCTTGGAAACTTTAAGGTTACCAGACCGTCCAACTGCCCAGTTTACAAGTCGCGGCTTCAGAAGAGGCACCAGCGGCCGCAGATCCTCCTCCGATTGATATGAATGATAATGAAATGCAAGACTCCTCCAGATGAAATAGAAAGAGTTCGTATGAACAATGCGCTTCTGCGGAATGAGAATTACATTTTGAGATGTTCGCTTCGAAATATAATAGATAAGCCTTGTAGAAAATCGTCCTGTACTGATATACATCATTTTAAAGGAAGTGTTAAATCGAAATCCTTTTGTGCGCCATCGTGCAAGCCTTGTCGCACCTGCTGTACTGATCTTTGCTGTTTGAAGTGTTCACCAAAGTGCCCCAAAATGCCGTACCGCTGCTGCTCAACGCTGTGCACTTTGAGCCCGAGATCATCATCGACGTGTCGACCATCAGTCCCCACGCTGTGCTGCAAGCCCTACTCCCGCGCCTGCTGCAGCAGCCCCTTCTGCACCATCTGCAGCTGCCTGAGCTGCCCGCCCCGGCCGTGCAACATCTCCTGCTGCAAGCCCTACTGCAGCCCCTGCTGCAAGCCTAAGCCCTACAGCATCACCTGCTGCAAAACCAGCTGCAGCCCCTGTTACAAGCCCTGCTGCAAGCCGTGCTACAAGCCTTGCACAAGCCCCTGCTACAAATCCTGCTGTACGAAGACCTACTGCAAGCCTTACTGCTCACCCTGCTCCACTTTCTGCGACCCTTGCTGCCGATCCCGCCCGACATTCCGCAGGTCCCGGTGCTCCTGCTCCATCTGCTGCCGGCGATCCATGTCCCAGGGAGCCAGGTGCTGCCTCCCCTGCATCCCCCAACACTGTTCGCTGTCGCCGCCCAGGCTGTCCTGTTCCCCCACCTGCCGCTGCCTCTTGTGCTCGCCGTTCCGGTCCAGGAATTGCTGCTCCAACAACGACATTAAACCTGAGGAACCCGCCACCACCGATAATGCTGCTGCCGCAACGACCACCACCTCAGCTCTGGTAGCGAAACAGTAACAACATCCCAGTAAGGAACTGTGTCAAGTGAAAATCTTTCATTATCATCATCAGCAAGTGCCTTGCCGACTAGCGTGAGCGATCATGCTTCTCCGCAAATTGCGATCTCCAGTGGCACGTATC